AGGAGAGAGAGAGAGAGAGAGAGAGAGAGAGAGAGAGAGAGAGAGAGAGAGAGCCTGACACGCAGCACTTCGCCCGATAAAGAAAACCAACGAAATAGGAAGGAGGAGGAGAGAAGAAGACAAAGGGAGGAGGAGGAGAGAAGAAGACGAAGGGAGGTGGAGGAGGAGGAGGAGGAGAAGGAGGAGGAGGAGGACCTGCCGGTTTCGTGATACATCGACGAAAAAAAAAAGAAGGACGATGAAGGAGGAGGAGGAGGAGGAGGAGAGTAACACAGAGAGAGAGAGAGAGAGAGAGAGAGAGAGAGAGAGAGAGAGAGAGAGAGAGGAGGGGAGAGAGAGAGAGACAGGACACGTGGCACTTCGCGACATGGTACCGTATCACCGACGACGGGGCAGCTTTCCGACGGCGGGCAGCGACGACGAGCTGGGAAACGGGCAGCAGCGGCGGGCAGTGACGACGGGCATCGACGACGGGCACCTCGGCAAAGGCGGGCAGCGACGGGAACCTCTTCGGCGGGCAGCGACGACGTTCGAATTCGAAGGCCGCCCGAACGTATGTGCAGTTGGCGGAAGAATTTGTGCGGGGGGGCGGGGAGGCTCCCAAGCTCGAAAAAACATCGAAAAAGGCCTCCCCGCCCCCCCCCACACAAATGCGCTGGGCCCGCCCGGCGTCAAACCGGGGGACCCAACCGGCCGGGCCGCCCAGGACCCCTGCCGGACGGAGGCTGGGCCGCCGAGTGGCCCGGAGTTCAACACAGCCTAAAACAGGGCCTTCCAGGCCCTGAGGCTTTTCAGCCTGAAACGGAGGGCCATTTTCAGGCCCTCATAAGAACGACCTGCCCTGAAACTCAGGCACCAGACCAGGTGTTGCATACTAGGGAATACTTCACCAAGTATGGGCAGAACCAAAGATCAACCAACATAGGATGAACATGTATGCAGCGGAAGTCTGAGAAATGGACTGACTCACATAGACTGAACTCACCCAGTCATCACTCCACACACAAGCAAGCATGAGATGGTGGGATACATAGACAATGCTTCAGGCCCCGTACAACCATACACAAATGAAAGGCGGGAGGAGAGACGATGGAGGTGGGGAATATGGACAGCGCCAGATGTCACCGAGATAGAATCCAGAAGGTCACCGATATGGTAGCCCAAAATGTCACCGAACAAAATCAGAATGTCGTGGACATAAGTCACCAATGTCGGAGGTACAGAATCCTAATGTAACCGATGTCCGATCTGCGATGCTGCCAGGTATCACACCCGACTATCTCCAATGTCTCGAATCCGGTAAGTGTCACAGCCTCCTACCACCGAAGTCCTATCACTTATCTCTGTCCAACTCGTATCAATAGTCCCCAATCTGAAGAAGAAGAAGAAGAAGAAGAAGAAGAAGAAGAAGAAGAAGAAGAAGACTGAGAGGGGAGGCAGAGAGTCGGGGGAGATGGCGAGTAGCCTCAGGCCTAACCTGCGTCTGCAAGATGGCGCCTTGGCTGATGCGGGAGCTGGGCTGAGCCGCTGAGAGCTATGGCGCTCACGGTACTCTAGGTAAGTCTCCCCCCTCGCGTCCCTTGGCTGCAGTGCGCTAAACTTAGCGCTGCAGCTCCAACTGCTGCGCTGAACCAGGAATAGCGCAGTTCGGTGCCTCCTGCCGTACTGCCCTCCAACCTGCTGGAATGGCCGCTGGACCGGCCTAAGTACCGGTCGGCGGCCGACCTGACGCGCCTTGATCTGAATCGTCACGTTTGACGATTCAGATCAGACCGGCGGGCGGCAGCCTCAAGGGCGCCGCCAGGCCCAAACGGTAATGTCGTTTGGGCCTGTACCTGGTCTGCTGCAGGAAAGGCCAACCGGTGCCTCAAAGCGGCCTACCGGGAGAAAGGTCCGGCCTTTAGCTGAGCCGGCCTAAATACCCCTTAGCCTAGTGGTCGGGTCCGAAAGGGACCCGTGTGGCATCAGTATGTAACACACTCCCCCCCTTAAAAGACTGAGCTACCTGCAAGGGCGAAGTTGTCTGTCCGATACCTGGGTGGGTCGGGTGGGACGAGCTTTGTCCTTGGCGAGTCGCCGGTTCTCGTGGTCGGAGAAGATGAGTGGTGCAAATGCCTGTAAGTCTGCACGGGAGATCCAGCGTGTGTCATCAGGGCCAAATTGCTTGAATGTGACTTGGTATTGCATTGGCTTATTGCCATACTTGCGATGTGTGATGACACGGTCAACTTCCTGATGTTCGTCCATAGAGGGCGGATCATGTGATCGTCGGCCCGGAAACTCATCCTCGGAAGGTGGCGTATACACAGCCAACTTGGACGCATGGAAAACCGGGTGTACGCGGAGGTGCGGTGGGATGGCAATCACAAAGGAAGGGCCAGCAGGGTCGTCGCCTGCTGCAGAAATTACCTTCCATGGTCCAAACTATTTCGGGAGGAGTTTGCGCGAGACGTCTTGCTCCAGCGCGAATTCCTCAGCGAGGACCCAAACAGGGTCTCCTTCGCGGAAAGGACATGGGAGTCGACGTCGGTTAGCTTGCTGCTGCATGCGGATTTGAGCCTTTTGCATGTTCGTGCAGGCTTTGATCTGCAAGTCCCGGTACTTCCGAATGAAAGCGGTGGAGCAAGCGACGTCGATATCGGCGG